GAGCAGCTGCATGGGCATGGCAAACGGATATTTGTTTGCAGGCTGCAGTCAATGGTGTCATAACAATCAGCACTCAACAGTCAGCCCAAAGGAACAAATTTAATGTACTAGCTGGCAAAGTCTGGCAGCTATGAAAATGCTACACTGCTTTGTGAAACCAGTAAATCCAAGCAGTCCAAAAAGAAGTACACATCGCAAGCGGTGCAAGCAGTTGTTCCAAACAATCTGTTAAAGCAATAGGAAGCATCAGTGGTTAACGTATATTTGAAATAGAAATATCTCAGCATCAACATTTCGGTTCCAAGAGGGCGAAACGAATAACAAATGATAACATATACGATGTGAGAGAGCAACACCATTAAATAAGCAAACATTTTTAATATATTTTTTGTTGGAATAAAATAAAATAATTTAATATTATTCAATTGACTGTACAAAAAAAAGTTTAAATCTCAAACACAATTAATGAAAATTTTGAGGTTTTCCACCTAACTACCGACTACTGAACACCACTCAAAATGCAGCAGGTTCATCGAACCCAAACTCTCTGCCAAAAGGGGGATTGTCTCTTGCCTTTTGGGTATTGTCTTTTGCTTCTGGTTCTTCTGCTGCTGCTTCCACAGAAAGCCAACCGCTCCCTGGCGACCATGTGCTGATGCCCACAGAAATGAATAAATATTAATGCTGATGCGACGCGATTCGCCAATGAAAGTGGTGTTTGCCCGCTCTTCGGCGAATATTGGTCTCGACTCTGCTTGTGCTTAGAACTTTTCGCCTAATCGAAAGTCGGGCCGTGAGAATCCAGCGTGCGAGTCATCAAACTCTCTGGACTCGAGTTCAATGCGATCGGGTTCAAATTTGAGGAAGTATAACTTTTCTGGGGGTAGCGTAGCAAACGATATCGGTCGTCACTGCGGCCGATAAGGCGTGACTAAGAAAACCGAAATCAAAACAAACCAGAAGGAAACGGCGGTATCTAGGGGGCCGAAACTTTCGATACAACCAATTTTGGTATATATATTCTACACATAAGAAGGTTAAGAAACGCTTCCATATTTGTATTACAAGTAGGGTAGATTAGATCATTCAAGAAAGCCTGAAGTATACTTTGACCACTGCCCGGTTGATGTCGTAGGCCATACAATGAAATTGGAATAAGTAGTCACCATCAGGAAAAGGGAGATAAGCCGTCATCCGGCGATGTACAAAATCTGCAGTAAGCTTGTCCAGCACAACAAAATCCTGTGGGTTAGAAATCGTATGTCTGAATCAATACCGTGATCCCCTGACCACTTACACTGTACGGACACGAGTGGTTCATGTTGGTGTAGGGCTTGAAGATTTAAAAAATGAAGCTAGCTGTGGGGTTGGATTTCTGATTGTTATGGAATCGAAAGGCATCGACTGTTAAGTTGTAGAGGAAGGGCCTTTACCCACTAAATCGTTTATACAGACCGAAGTTAACCTGGATATAGAAACTGTATTAACGTCATAATTGCTGTGGCCATTTTGGGCGGAAAAACCTTGACTTTGGTAACGGGACTCTTAAACAGTTGTACTTTGATGGAAATGTATTTGAAGCTCCTGTTCACGGACTTCAGAACACAATATTCAAAATCACTAAACTGCTTATCCAAGGAGTCGCATTCGATGTTCGTGAACTCCGTCCGGGAAGCGATCTGGGTTGAGTAACAATATATTTTTACCATTACATGAAAAGTTTCCTATTCACAATGATAGCTCGGTTACAGGCCTCTGTTACCAAATATGAAATCATTACGAGACGAACCACAAACTCGAGCTTGGCGCACATCATGGATTGTCACTGAACCCACAATAACTAAATTTTTGAATTGAATTCATTTAAAATTAGCATTTAGTCTGGGTCCATTAATCACTTAATGCCCATAGTACGATGATTAAGTAATTTTCCAACGTTTTTCTCTGCATCGCTTAATAATATTGATAAAAAAAGTAAAAAATTCTCTCCTCGGGACAGATGGGAAACACCTTTCTTATATGCTTTGTACGCATATTTTACTCCTACATACAAAAATGGGGAATGTCCCATAGAAATGACTTCCCATAGCTCTCAATTATGACCATATTTATAAATATTATATCTGTGTGATTTTTGCGTGTGTCAGATAACTCTTTTTCGGGTGCAATGAACGCGATTCACCGCTCTCCCATACTTGAATCGCGCCAGGCAGTAGTATTTGTTTTGTTAACGCGAATTCGGGAGTTTTGGCCGTCTCGTCTTATCAGCCGTTTACCAAAATACAAAAAAAAAGTGGCTAAGGTTGTTGTGCATAGCGCGTGGTCGTAGTTGATATGGAAGAACTGGAGGGTCCGTGGGAATAGGCTCCCTCTGCAGAGAGATGCCTAAAAGCCTTTGACTTATTTCTTCATTTTATCTTTATCTTTAATTGTTGCATAAAATGCCTTTGATAAAATAAATCGGCGAGTATTACCAAACCCTAATCTAATCATTATTTTATTTGATTTGTGGAAGAAAGTTCTTTTCCGAAACAAATTTATTTATTTTGTTTATTATTTAAATGGATAGAATAACATCACATTTCACTACCGTTCATTTAAACTAACTCACATTTTCTTTTGTTTTAATAACCGTACTTTCCCAATCAAAGAACTCAATTATCAGTTGGGATAAGGCCATCTTGCCCCATCTACATATGGCATTTCGTCAGTGGCCGCAATTGATAAGCACGCATCGACATCTGATCAATGATTGGGCAACAGGGGCACAATGGAACGCCTTTGAACAATAAGGGTGCAGTGTCGAGGGCAACGCATTTGTGCAACACGCACAAGGAAGCGGCTGCAGCGGCAGTGTAATTTGCACAATCTCCTCTGATGTTGTCATCGATATCGATATATCAGATGGGTTATCATTTGACTGATAAGGAAGGGGCTGCGGGTGGGGCTGGGGTTGGGGCTGGGGAATCAACGCTGAAGAGCGGTCCTGTCATCGACATCGCCAACGCCATCGGCATCTGCTCTTATCGTACAACCGCGCACGGGGCGTATGATTAATAAAATCCGAATAAACAAAGGGGCAACGGAGAGCAGCGCACACACCTTCAAAAAGTAAACGACAACTTGACCTAAATCAAAGAAAACGGAAAAGGAGAGAGTCGTAGAAAGAGAAAGAGAGAGAGAGAGACAGACAGAGAGAGAAAGGGAGTGATTCAAAGAGAGGGAGAGCCAGAGACAGAGCAAAGACAACTTTTACAAATCGCTGCATTTAAATAAACAAAACTACGAGGCGTGCTAATTTTTATGAATTTCATAACATGATTTTAATTTTAATAAGACGCAAAAGCAACAGCAAAAGCAACAAGAAAAGCACTGCGTACGATATTACGTGAAAGCTCTCTGATGCGTTGCGACGCGACGCCTCCGTCCGAGCAGTCACGCATGCGCGCCAAAATAAATCCCCCCGAAATGCAGCTCTTCACGAACTTCTTCTGAGTCAAAAGTCTAGGCAGAAATCAATGAGTGCGAGAAAGGCCCTTCTGGGAGAGTCAGAGAGAAAGAGAGAGAGAGAGGTGAGGGGAATGCCGGTTTATGCGGGCGTGATTTTGTTATTGTTGCTTCTCCCAAAGCAAACGAAAATGAAAGCGAGAGAAGAGAGACAACACGCGGGCAGTGTATTCAGTGCCAAAGCTGGCGCTCTTTTTGTATACCCTAGATGTAAAAGGAGGTATATCCGACTATATGCTTATCATCATCTAGTACTATCCTAAGAATGTCCGTCTGTCTGTCCTTCTGCACTTTTATATAACTTTTTATAGGAAGCTGATGCTTATGTATCGTATCTTGAAATGTTTATAGCTGAAAGGGTATCAAAGCCTCGACTACCGAGAGCTTTCTCCTCTCTTGTTTTCTTTCGTTGTTGACTACCTGCATGCAAATTTTGTGACGTCATGCCGCATAGCAATGCAAAAAAGCCAAACTGCTACGTCAGATGTGCATTTATTTGAGCTTATGGAGAATGCACCCTCTCATACCCTCTCTTCATATTCAAAAAACTTAGAAAAATATTTAATTATTCGCTTCTCATCGTTTACACTTTGCACAGCAGTTGGCTTTTCTCCCTGCACTCAGTCGCAACAGAAGGCAGGGAGCAGAAACTTGTCTGGTAAGTAAATTGCTTGCAGTTCAGTTGGTTCCCCCTCTCTCATTGAGAGTAAAAGTGATTGGGAAAAACTTTTGCTTTTTACATGTCCCGCAGACAGTCAGTCGATCGTTTCTCTCCTCTCTTTGGCTGAGTCTCTTTGGACGCTCATCCACAGGTAGTTGCTGTAAAAGCAGCGCAGCCGACCGACGCTCAAGCAGCAGTAACGACGACGACGTCATTTTTGGGGCTTTTATGGCGTGGAGCGTTTGCGTCTGTGGCTGTGGTGTGTGTGTGTGTCTGTGTGTGTTACATGCGCGCTGTGCTTCGGCTGCGTCGCTGGCGTCGTCGTTTGCTTCTCATTTTCTTTGGCGCTGCTGCTGCTGCCTTCTGCTGCTGCTGCTTGGCCTGCGCCAAAGACTTTTTCACTGTGCCGCGTTCGCATTTTGTCACAGTTACAATTTACCAATTGTAAGCGACGGACGCGCTGCTCGCTCTAACGGACAGGAAAACGCCAAGAAAAGCTCCCTCTCTCTGTCTGTCTGCCTGTCTCTTCGCTCTCTGGGGGCCCAGACAGCCTAACGGTTCTTCAGGAGCTTGCCTTTGCCTGCTGCCTGCCTGCCTTCTAATACCAAAGCAGAGTCGCGTCGCGCCGTCTCGTATAAAATCTGTTGCATCATTGCGGTGGCACTTCAGTCGTTCGAGCGCGTGCGGCCGGAGAAGTGCAGTGTTAACAACGATTACAACAACAAGCTAACAACAATACAAAAATGCGTGGCTGCAGTGAACATTTAAGCGGCAAAAAATGACTAAATTTACCAATTTGTGAGATAAAAAAGAAACACTTCCAAAGACAAACTTACCTCAGTGCAATGGTTTAGGACTTAGAGCCAACCAACAGAAACAAAAAAAAAACAACCATAAATTCCCCAACAAAATTTTCGCCTAAAATCAATCAAAATTATCGGGCAAAAAGGCATCAACATTCTACCCTCATTCGGGCAACTAAAAATGCTGAACATGGAATCGCCACAGATGTACGCCGATGCCGTGCAGACGCTGGCCCAGCTGGACCTCAAGAAACCGCCCCCCCAGCAGGCCACCATCGGCCAGATCACACTGACGGCGATGTCCACTGCCCAGCAACAGCAACAGCAGCAGCAGCAACAAAATCCTCAACAGCAGCAGCAGCAACAAAATCCTCAGCACCAGCAGCAGACAACGGATGCCAACAACAATACGTCCCAGGATGCGGCACTCCTTGTGAAGCAGCATGCCATGCACCAAATGCAACAGGCGGCCCTCAACGGCAACAACAACAACAGCAACAGCGTGAACAACAATGTGAACAACTTGCTGCAGAAGCAAATGCTGCAACAGTACACCACACAGACGGATCTCGACGAGCTGACGACCCAAGAGATTACCCTGGACCTGCAGCACCTGATAGATGACCAGTTCCGGGACACGGAGACGCTGGGAATCTTCAGCGACATGGTAACCAGTCCGGGCGGACTTTCCGCCACCCTGCCGCCCAATGGAATGGTCAGCGCCGCAGCCAAGGTGTTGCAGCAACAGACGCTGAGGAATCAGCACGGTTACGGGCGGGGCGGGGCACTGGCGTACATGCCACAACCCGTCCACGCCACCTACAACAATTCCAGCGACGAGAACAGCTCCGTGGGCTCCGACTCCAGCACGATCAAGGAGGAGCCCATCGACCCCGAGTATCGTCGCCACCTGCAGGAAGCGGCCAGCCAGCAGGCAAGCAACGCGGCCGCCGCCTTCATGTCCAATGGCAATGGGCTGTACAACGGGTACGGGTCCGCAGCGAACGGAATATCCGGCAACAGCACCAGCGGCACCCTCAACGGTAGCACCACCCCGAACCACAGCAGCAGCAATGGCAGCAACGGCAGCAGCGGTCCCGTAAATGGCAGCCAGTTCACGAATCTGACCACGGCCAATGTGCTGGCACACCACAACCTACCACACCTGGCGGCCGCCGCTGGGGCCCAGCACCTGTTGAAGCAGCACAGTAAGCTCCAGCACGCGGGGCAGCACCAGCAGCACAACCACCACCGGAAGCACGGAAACAAGCACGTGGACAAGGGCACCGAGGAGTACCGGCGTCGGCGAGAACGCAACAACATCGCGGTGCGCAAGAGTCGCGAGAAGGCCAAAGTCCGGTCGCGGGAGGTAGAGGAGCGCGTGAAGAGCCTGCTCAAGGAGAAGGACGCTCTCATCCGGCAGCTGGGGGAGATGACCAACGAGTTGCAGCTGCACAAACAGATCTACATGCAGCTGATGAACCATGCCAATCCCGAAGTGAGTCGCGTCTGTCGGAGCTTCCTCAACACCAACGAGCACTCACTGTAGCCGTGAGTGTGTGTTGTGAATGAGTCTGAGTGTGAATGAATGATTGTGGAATGAGTGAGTGAGTGTGTCTGTGTCGCCAAATCAAAGATTTAAAATGCTGTGTGGGTAGCATGTAAGAACCATTTTCCTTTTTGCTACTGTTCATCAACTTCTGAATTCTGCATTCTGCTTTACCTCTTCTTCCTTTTCTGACCCACCCTGTGGGGCATTTCTTTGTACATTTTCTTCTCTTCGTTCCCTCCTCCTTGTTATCACTGCTTATCGAGTTACAATTAAATATTTTTGTACTTAATTTTAACGACTGTAACATATATTTCGCACATCTATAAATATATATATCTATGCATATTATCATAAAGTTAAGCCAAAGAAAAATGTTGAAAATATTTATGTAAAAAAGCGCAGGAAAGAAAACGGAAAATACAAAAAATTAAAACTATTTATACAGAAGAAACAAAACAAAAAAAAAAAACAAACAAAAAACACAAATCATATTTTTACTATTGTAATTTTGTACATTTCTTGAATGGTGTGCGGCTTGCGCCTACATGCTTTATGCCACGCCCAGGCCCTGCTTTAAACACTGATCCAACATTAGCAAATCTCTAGATCGTAAGCCTTTTCCCAAAAAGATATCTCCCCCCCACTCACTACCCCTACCCCAGCCCCTACGCAAATCCCTACCCGGTACTAACAGTAATCTAGCGAATGCGATGAGAATACGGAATATCTGATCCGTGGCTGCCGAGAGCGCGGAAGATATGAATGCTATTAACTTGTAAGGCCAACGCAATGTTCTCATTTTAATTTATAAATTCGTAAATTAAATATACATACATACAACAAGAAACCAACAAACGCAAACTGTAAAGCAACTCTAAATAAATTAAATAAAATTTACAATATACAAAGAAACATAAACATTCTTTCATTTTCAAGAGGGCTTTCTCAAACCTTAAAACCGAACCCCCTAAGTTTTCCCTAATATTATCAAATTGTGTATAATATTTATAAATTAGCCGACAAACCGTAATTGGCCCAAAAACAATGCGAAGAGCTTTGCCAAAAAATATCTAATAAAATGTCGGCCATATTTAGGCGGCCACACAAACACACACACAGGCATAGACAGGCACATAGAAGGCCAATAAGAGACAGGCAGAGAGGGAGACACAGTTTTCTTGTGGCTTTTCCTCTGATGCGACAACCAAGACAAGGCAATGCATTTCGGGCTGCCAGACGCGACAGCTGAGACACGCGCTGAGGGCAAAGGGTCTGCCAGAGGGGGCAGCGCGGCTGAGGAGGATGGGAGGACCGTACCGCCAGACAATCGCATGGCGGCCGTGTTGACACAATTTGACAGTAAGACAAACCCGAAACGAAAAGCAAATTTATAAACGACAAAGCGAAAAAGAATAAATGCAACCCGAAACAAAAAATACAAAACACACAGAAATATCAGACAAATTAACGCGCCAGAGAAAGCCCCCCCGAAGCCTGGGGCCAGAGGGTAAGCAGCAGCAGCAGCAGGAGCAGCAGGGGAACGCATTGCCCCGACCTGGGGCACATAATCACTTACACAAAAACCAAAATCTGGGTTCGGGCTAAGCCCTTTTCTTGATGGCTTGTTGAGGAAAGCCAACGCAAGGCGGTGGCTAAAACTTTCTTTCCATCTGCGGCGATTGCTGCCTGCCCCGCTCTTGCCGCAGCTGCCCCTGCTACTGCTGCGTGCACCCAATTTGTCTAGCCCTAGTCTCCCCTGTCACCCCGACTCTCAGTGAGCATTGTTGAGTACTTTGATTGATGAAAGCTAATTGCGCATGCACTCTAGAGTGCAGCAGCAGCAGCAGCAGCAGCAAGCAGTAACCTTCTCGAAAGTGAAATTGTACAACTTGTGGGTGTCTTGTGGTAGCCATGAAACCCGAAATGAAACTGGCTTCAATTTAAAGCTCGACTTTGATAAGGGTTCTAAGCGGCTTACGGTGAAAGTTTGCGGTTGCCTGTGCCCCTGCCCTAAACCCCGGACTGCAGCGCCCTCATAGGTACATACATGCATCATCGTCAGCATCATTTTGGCAAGGGAACAGAAATTGCCGCACAATTACTGCCAAACTAAGCGCCAAGCATACGCGGCGTATGAGTTATGAGCGGCGCGACGGCAGCGAGAAGTGATAAATCTGCAACAACCAGCGGCAGCACAATTTGCAGTCATTTTTCCGTCCTACCAAGGCGATAGGTTGATAAATTTTAATTGCCATAATGAAGAAGGAAGGAGAGATGCTGACGGGACATATATCAAGAGGAGGAGGAGCCCAGGCACAGACACAGGCACAGGGCCATTCGGGAGGTCTAAGGGATGTTACAGCATGTGGTTGGTATGTGCTTAACGAATCTGAGAGTACGATCAGTACGATGTCAGAAATCAAACGGGTCCCAGAGCAATCTATCTATCACAACAACTTTAATAGTCTTCAGGAATAGATTATCAACTTCGAAAAGCTCTCAAGAAAGATATGTCTCTCATAATTCCCTGTATTTGCAAATAGTATGCTCCTCTGATCCTCGTTACTTTCCGTTTCATTGAGCTTCAAAAGGTCCAGTTCCAGATCCAGATCCATCACGTTTCAGTTGCCAATCAATCGATCTTTCACACTTCAGTTCCACTTTGTCTGCTACTTATTGTTGTACGAGTGGTATCTTCTCCTCTTTCCGCTCCATCTTTGGCTGCAGCGAACAGCAACAAAAAAACATAACGGAAAAAAGTGGGTTACTTCATTTTTATTTTCATGCCTCAAGAGAGCGAATGGGGGAAAGAGAGAGGGACACAGAGAGAGGGACTAACTTTACATCTCTGCATCTATCTATCTATCTATCTATCTTTATTTTTTTTCTTTTTAGCACAGATTGAGTAATAGCTGTTTGGCTTATATTTAAAGCCGAGCTCCGTTCCCTCTCTTTTGTGCCACCATTCGCCTGGCAACGACGATCGTGTGGCCAACACGGAGCGGTTTCACTTTCTATGCCGCCGACTGACTGACTTTTGCTATCTAATACAGCCGTTGCCTCTAGAGCAGCAGCAGCGCAGCAGCAGCAGCTGAGGCAGCAACAATGGGGCACCGGCGGAGCTCACCTCTTTTTACCCCGCTTTTTGCTGTTTCCTTTCCACAATACATTGACTATTTTCTTTTCGACGGCGACGACGACGACGACGCCATGTTGGCCGCAGTCTCAGTCTCAGCTTCAGCCTCACTCTCAGCCGAGTCTGAGGCTCAATGTATCTGTATCTGTATCTGAGTGTGGGTCTTATGTAATAGCCATGAGTGCTGTTGTTGTAGTTGTTGTTGCTGCTTTTTAAAGATGCCTTTTCTTTTGTTGTGCTGGATGTCTGTCTGCTGCCTGATGACCAAGTTAAGATATTATGTTCGTTATGTTGCGCTTATTAACGTGGCCCACAAAAATTGTTTAGCGTTTTGCTTTGCTTAAACGAATTTTCCGTTATAAATCAAGCGAGCCCCGCAAAATGGAGACATTTGGCTGTGTGGCTCTGCGGCTCTGCAGATGGCAAATAATCAAATAAATTGTACAGCCCCCAAGTGACCCACAGATTGAAGATGCGTCTCTTTTACGCAACTTTTAGGATGAGGTGAAGCAAAACACAACAGCCTACGTTCTCTCAGCACAGAGTGGAGTTAATAGCACTAACAAAACTTCAGCAACAATTAAAAAGAAATCAATTTACATACGGTAGAGATGTATTTAACACTCGAAAGCATATCTATTCAGAATTTATGGGCAGCACTGTCCAAACAAAATGTTTGTGTAGATAAGGCTAAAAGGGAAATAGCATGAGCGAAGCAAAGATACTTAACGAGAGGCAAACACAACGAAGATTTAAATGCATACTTATATACATACATACATATATGTACATATGTATGCTTTAAGAGAGCATTGGAAATACAGTCGAAATGGAAAGAGTTGGTATGGAGATAGATCAGATCAGATGATAAGGAAGCATAAGGACGTAGTAGTCCTGCGACCAACAGGGAACCATTTATCGTTCTGGACCCAGGATATCCTAATCGACAGCCCCAAAAAGGGCGGCAAATCACGTTAGCGGCAAGGCCAGCCACAGAGCAAGACGGAGGCAAGATCCCAAGAGGAAGAGAAAGAAACAAAACTAAATCTAAACCACTCACCCACAGACCCATTGGCCTACTTTTTCCCACAGAGAGGCCCGGCAACAACAATAAAAATATATGAAAATACAATAAAAAAAAAATGCTGGAAAATAATCTCAACGCCAACACACACAAACACATACATTGCTAATCAACGCGTACATATGTGTGTGTGTGTGTGTGTGTGTGCAAGTCGAAATTTACAAGGGGCGCCCTTTTGAAAAAACAAAAAAAAAACTTCTTCCAAAAAGCTGCGCGCGCTTCTATTTTCAGCTGCGCGTTGGCGTCAACGTCGCTGCCTTTATCAATCTTGGCAGAGCAGAGGCAGTGGCAGTGGGGTGGCCCTGCAGTGGGGCGGGGGTGGGTGACAGAGGAGGTAACTTATCTTAGGGCAAGACCCGCGTCCGTTGGAAAGGGCCGCCGCGCGCCAGACACTTGTTGCAAGCAGAACAGTCGAGCAGCAGCCAACAACAAATTGACCTAATTTCTGGTACACATTTTTCCTTTACAGCACACAGATACACACACTTGCACCCATACAGGCAAGGAAATACAAACAAACCCAAATATGTGCCCTAAACACGTACAGAATGGGAAAAGACGTATCTGTATCTGTATCTGTATCTGTGCGAACGAGTGTGTGGAATGCTCCCTTAAAGAGCGAGGCAGCAACAACAAAAAAAAAACAAAATTGAAATTGTTGTTAATTGTTGGTGTTGTTGCTGGTGTTTGCTTTGCGGTATTGTTGAGTTGTTTGCACTCGCTGTCGCTGTTGATGTTGCTGTTGCTGTCGCTTCAGTCGCTGCAGCACTCCAACAACAACAGAATTCACTTTCAATTTTTGTTTCTTTCTTCTGGGTTTCGGGCGCATTGAAAGAAATGTTCTATGCCACAGCAGCAGACGTGTAGCAGCAGCGGCAGAGAGCAACAAATTTTTTCTTGACTTTGAGCTAAGTAGGTCAGCAGCTGTAAAATAGACTCCACTACAGTCCCCACCCCACAACCCACACCCTATGGTACGGATACCCCACCGAAAAGGCAATCAAATCGGGGGGAGAGAGAGAGAGAAATGTTTGTGCATTGCCAATGGAGGAATGTGTCTGGATACTGCGATCTGTGGCACTGTTTAGACGGTGTCTACTTCTCCATTGCTTGAGGCATCCGACACCCCA